GGGAAGAGGCTCATTTAGGGAGGAGAAAAGTGTACCGTCTCTTTCTTCGGGCAAAAGCATTGGCGAGTTGTTGATCAGTGGGAAGTCGAGGAAGATCTAAACCACTGTCCCCGTTTGCCGTCTTGAAAGCGGAGCACCATTGCTTCTCGACGACCGGAAATCTCCTAATTAGCATTGAAATTAAGAGAGTGAGAATAAGAATAGAGAGAGGCATGAAACTGGGGAGGATCGAATTCAAACCTGGAGAAGACAGCAGTTTCCTGATTGTTGATAATCCAGAGAGCCCTGATACTGCATCCAGAGGGCATATTTGTCCCGGGATGGATGAAGTAAGGTTGTTAAAGGAAGAAGGCACACATAGCTCTCGAGGAAGAAGACGACGACGGAGGATGATGCAGGGATGGGTCGAATTTTTGTGGGCTTTATTTAACTGTCTAATGGGCCAGATTGACCCATGCAATGGTAAAAGGCCCAAAAAAGTATAAACTAATCCAACGGCCCAGATTTGACCGCTCTCTAACACCAACGGTCAATTGTGTTTGATTATTGATTTTAAGTAAGAAACATTTTTGTGTTTAGAGATTCCCAATTGTTCAAAATAAGAATCGATATGGATCAAAAATTTCGTCATCATAGTTTTTTGTGCCTTGGTTAAAAGACAAGACGAATTAGGAGAGTGTAACAATAATCATGGGATCCGAAAAGAACAAAAATGGTGAGGAGAAGAAGAAGGAGGCAGTAGTAGCCTTAGATGCTGCTCGAGTCACGTCCAAAGACAAAGCGTCGACCCCAGTCAGAAATGACTAACATCCTTGTGCGCCAGCTCACCAGTTTGCTTGCGTAGACAGAGTACCAGAGCCACTGTGAGCTGTGTCCAATTGAGACCCAATCCCCTGGTAGTTCTGCTGCTGTCTGTTCCCCTCCCAGCGGCGCAAACGACCCAAAATGTCTGTACCTGAACGGCTGGAACCTGTGTCTTCCCTCTCCTCTGAACCTCAGTGGTCCCTCTGGCTTCTTCTCACATTTCTCCATTCTGTTGAAGCACTTTGCTAGGTACTTGCCTTGTTGCGATGCTACCTGTTTTTTTCATCACTTATTATTATTACTATTCAAGAATCAAAAAAGGATTGACTTGTACAAGAAAGAAGCTCTCACCTGTGCAGTTGCTGGAAGGTTCTTCATCTGGGAATCTACCTCAGAGAGTGCTTGCTTGAAATTTTCAATGTTGATTTCTGTGTCCTCGCCGTTTGCACTCTTGAGCAAGTGTGCAATGTTCTTCAGTTTATTCTTCTTCAAGTAGAGCTCCACCTGAGGATACCTCTGGCAAATGTCTTTCACCACAGCATTGAACTCTTTCTTGTTCAAAGTTCCTGTGTTATCCTTGTCTGCTTTACTGAATATTGCAGCTATATCCTCCTGTTTGTTTGTTCAACAAACGAACAAGATCAAGACAACAACAGATTAAAAGTCACTCATCATCTGTGTGAGATATGAGACACTAGGAAAGGTGTTTGAGGTGATACCATGACTCTGCGTTGGTTGATGGTTGCAGTGTCACCTAAAGCATAGACACTGTCGCATCCTTCCACTCTAAGCCATTCGTCAGTTGCCAAGACACGCCTCTGCCCCTGTAATCATTTCAAAACGCAACAATCTAGTTAAGTGTACTGTGGACCAGAGCAAATGATTCTTGATGAGAACAAGTAATCTAACCTGACCGATCTCCTGCATAAATTCTCTGATGAAAGGACGTAGACCAATCCCTGTTGACCATACAACCATACCATAAGGTTCAGTGACTATTTTGCCACTTTCTCTTTCCTTTGTGGATATCTCATCAGCAGTCACTCCCACAACCATGGACCCTGTCTTCAAATCAATACCATCTCTCTGGAACTTTTCCTCAGCAAAAGCAGTGATCCTCTTGTCAAACCTGGAGCATAATTAATGGAACCAACATTAAGTAAAAGCAGCAGATTCAAAGTTTGGAAGAACCTCGAGAGTGGAACTTACATGTTGAGAATGTGGTCGCCTGCTTCGAGAAGAGTGATTCTTGTGAACTCTTGGACCTTTGGGTATATCTTAGCCACATCATCGACTAAGAAATCATGAAGCTCTGCTGAGAACTCGACCCCGGTTGGTCCTCCACCAACCACAACAAAATGAAGAATCTTTTTCCTCTCTTCTTCGGTTAGATTGGGAAGAGAGGCTCTCTCAAAACAGTTGATGACTGACTTACGTATTTTCAGAGCATCCTCTGTTTCCTTGAGGAAATGGGCATGTTCCTCAACTCCAGGGGTGTTGAATGTGTTAGGCTTGGCTCCAACAGCAATGACTAGAATGTCGTAATCCATGTCAAACTCGGTTGTGCCCTTAAGACTCGTTCCATCCTTGGACCGGCAATGGATTTTCTTGTTTGATGCATCAATCTTGACACACTCTGCCTCTTTGTACTCAAACCCTTTCTGAGATAGTTTAAGATCAGAATCAGAGAAACCCAAAACATGAAAAGGTGGTTATGAATA